TTACCAATATGAATGAGCATTTGAACTCTTCATAAAATGCCAAATCAAGAGTTTGAGGACTATAAAAAACACAAAAGTAAATTTTTTGTCGAGTTGCATTTTGAATGAAAAACTCAACATGTCTTTGTCTTACCATTTTATGAAACACTGCACCGCAGGAAATAGCTACGACCGGGCAAAAAAGTAAGATTAAGGTATAGGCTTTGCAAAAAAAAAAAAAAAAAAAAAATTCAGCCTGCAGTTATTCCGGTCCATTAAAGTCGTAAAATAAGCACCTTTTTCTTGTTTTGTCACTCCACTATAAATGGTCTTTTGAAAAATCTCATTGCAAATTTAGTTGCTGCAACTCGTTCAAAGCCTTTTTTATGTTACTAAAAAGGAAAGTATGCTAGATACACTTACTGGAAATGGGAAGATATGATTGTAGCTTTAAATTTTCTCCTTGAAAACATATATGTACGTTTCGATGATAAAGTGAATCGACAGGTAGCAGATATTCCTATGGGCACATATTGCGCCTCTTTAATAGCAGATTTACTCCTGTATTGCTATGAATTACAGTTTATCCCCAAACTCAGTAAAGACAAGTGATTTTTACATTTGGATGACACATTCAACAATACCTACCGTTATCTTGATGATATGTGTTCGTTAAATAATCCAGAGTTCTCTAAATATACTACCTAAATTTACCCAAAGGAACTTACTTTAAATAAATCTAACATAAACAGCAGTAGTTGTCCCTTTCCAGATTTAGACATTTCAATTTCTAAAGGGAAACTCCATACTAAAATTTACGACAAAAGAGACGATTTTCATTCTCTATTGTTAATTTCCCTTTTAGACGGCGATGTCCCTTTGGCACCCTCATACGGTGTTTATATATCCAAGCGTTATGCCCGTGTGTGTAGTGATGTCATAAATTTTAACGAACGTAATCAATGCATCACTGGTAAATTATTAAGTCAGGGATTTCGTTACCATAAATTATTTAAACAGTTCCTAAATTCTTTCATAGATACAAAAATTGATTAGTAAATTTGGCTGTACCTGTAGAAAACTTATTAAAAACGGAATTGCACATCCTAAATTTTAAGGTACTATTGTACTAAAGGCGCGGAAATCACCATATGATTCGTGTAAACTCATCGACACTTTAAAGGGGCAGTAGCTACAAGATATATAAAAAAAATGAAATATGATTTATTTTGTTCAATCATTATTGGAGTGAAATAGTGAAATAATAATTCGCTTTTAGCGGTCAGTATGGTTCAATTTCGTCAAAATTAGCTAAGAAACATCAATGATGAATTATTCACTTGCAGATGAATAATTTGACCTCATTGAATCCGTATTCATGTGACCTTCAATTCAACTTCTTAGCTAGAGTTGGATTACGCATGAATTATGCGTGTTCAGTTATTAAAAGGAAAATAATGTGAAAATTGGAAGTGAAACAAAGGTAAATCATTTGATTGACTGATTCGATCCACAAAGACTCATTCTTATACAGGTAAACACGATGATTAACATATATTTTTCACCTATTATATGAAATTAAACAGACTTAGAAAATCCCAACTGCACGAGTTCGCTATCTATTTATATCTATATTTATGTTTATATCGCTTATATGACCGTCGGTAGTTTTCGGAGGTCAACTCGATAATTATTTAGATGGCGTCTAGACTAAAATACACATGAAACGATGATAGATATTATCAAGCCCATGCCTTGTAAATTGTTGATTTTAGACTTTTTATAATTTGGATATACGATTTAGTTTGTTATAAATCAAATATAAAGCCTATTGTCACTGACCTGAAGGCTAATTTTAGCTATATTCAAGGCCTCATTCCCACCCTTACCATTTAAGTGGAGTTAGGTGAAATATCGTTAAATCTATATATGCTCATGTCAAGCAAATATCATTTATTAACAACATATACTCAGACATATAAGTAACAAAATGAAGTGCATGTTTATAACCATACTTGACCGAGACAACTATGTTATCAACAATTACATTAGCCGTCGAAATAGTGAATGGCGTATGAATTTACCTATAAACCTACAAGGATAGACAATTGAAGAAAATTCCAATTCAAGATACTTTGCATTGCCTATAATTGTTTCATTGCGTGGGTGAGGCCAAACCATCTCTATCGATGCGAATATGTTGAAATACTTCAACTGCATACAAGATATCATTGATATACCACTAGTGACCTCATTTAAACTTTCCTTATTGCAGACTTTAATTTGCAAACTATGCACAATTTCCAAAGTCAATTGATCATAACTATGACTAACGTAATAGTGTGAGACCGAATATTCTCAATCTCGCTCGAAATCCTACAACAGAAATAAATTCCGGTAAATAATTACATGTTAATGATAATTACGAAATCGCTCCAAAGAATATTCGTAAATACAGACAGGTGACTTTATTTCTTTTTAGACCGTTACCTCAGTTCGTTCATTATTCTTTATTCTTTAT